ACCGGTGTATCATTATCCATAAAATATTGAGGGTAGTTACTCTTGCTGGAACTGTTTCTAATCAGTTTATTTAATATATTCCAAGTACCTCTCATGTTATTTTTATTATCCTCTAATACTTTAGAGTAATATAGTTTCTTACATCTCCTCAAAATCTCAATTAATTTGTTCTTATATGACTTATATTTTTCTTCCGCCTTCTTTGATCTGTCCTTTATGAATTCCTTATATAACGCATTCTTCTTTTTACATGCATTCTGTAATCCCTTACTCATCCACGGTTTCCCACTGTAATTCCTTTTGTTTTTATACTGCTTACGAGGACAGTTCCTGTCATATACTTTCTTAAATATATTTAAAAATTGCTCATATGCTTTATCTAAGTCATCCTCTCTGTAAACTGGTTCCCAGTTTTGCCCCATGAAATCATCTCTTAGCCTCCTTACAGCATGTTCATTCATCACCCTCCTATAGAAAAAAAATTTGTTTTTGGCCTCTCTTCTCTATACTGGCCCTCATAAACCACAAATATTGGTAGATGATCACTAATATCATTTATGAGTAATCCACTTGTCATTTTACTATCCATAACATATATTATCGATTAATGTTCCATGCTGGGTTGTTACTCTACTTGGTTTTGTAATTTTTGGGTATAAACTGCATCTATATATTGTGTTAATAAACTCCTCAGTTCCTGTGTGCTTGTTAGGATTTAACAAATCTATATTGAAGTCACCACATATGAACATTAATTTATGACTTATTGTCAAGTAATTTTCTTCCATCAGTCATTAAATTTTTCTATGCTGGCTCCAGGTGCTCTATAAATACAGCTTATTACAACATTTTTCTTTTTTTCCACGAGTATTTCTACAGTCACACACTCGAGCAAATTATCAACCACCCTTGACATTTTCTCCACTTTTTTATAACAAAAGTTTTTATCTATGTACAAGGCCACACCACCTCCCATCTTAATCTCTCTGTTTGTGCATACCAAGTCATAGCCATCAAGGTCAAAATGATTTAATTATTGAAAGTCAGCTCTGATGGGCTTCACAGAAGAATTATGACTCATTTAGGATCTAACATACATAACTGGAAACTGCTAAAAACCCCTGATAAACTGGTTTGTAGGTGTTGATAAGGGTCTTTTGAAAGCTATCAAAAACATCTCTGGTGTCAGTATTTAAATAATTTCAGTACTGAAACATACTGGTTGTTTTGACTAAATGTTAAGGATGGGCTTTTTAATAAAAAAATATTTTATGACAGCCAGTAGGACACAACCTATTTGGGATAGAAAAGGTTAATATCATTTACAAATTTGAAATGTGATTTAGCAGTTGTTCTTTAAAAACTAGATGTTTCTCTTGATTATTTTGATAAAATTAGATACTTTTTCATAAAAGTTCATTTCAGTTTCCTGTTGACTTTTGTGCGGCTACATTTTTGCATATTCATAGCAACAACCTGGATGTGGTGGGAAGGCACCACACACACATGCCTCAGAGAGTGTGATACCACATCCTTAGACACACCACCGACGATGACGCCTTGGCTGTCACACAGGTTGCTGAACATTGTTCCACTAAAAGTTCTCATACAGACGTCAGTGCATTAGAGACGCTGTGTGCTTCGTGACGGACTGGGTGGCAGGGATAAAATTGTTCAAAAAGGTAAGATTGTTAATGCTCTGTTACAAATGTATTTAATTTTTATTGATGATGATGTTCTTTATCATATCTGATAGAGATCCTAGATAGGTTTTTTTGGCATATTTTACCATATGATAACTGTTGCCCCAAATTAGCAGGAAGTTCCAGATGAAGACTTTTTTTTTTTTTTTGTCTTTAAGCATTGAACTTTTTTCACAACACTTATGCCTATATTTAGGTTCAGCTGCTGTGCTTTCTTCAGTCGAACAAGCGGCAGATAACAGCGGGTTGTCCCTATGGCTGTTAAACCTGTGTACATATTGTTGCTGTGGGAGCTCGCTTTGTTGATTCATGGTGGTAAGTCCATCTATGTCATCACTGTCTTCTCTACACCAAGTACTCTATTTAAGATAAGCTTAGTGTTTTACTCTTTTTGTGTTTGTTTTAATGCTGGGGTTTTACCCATGTTTCCTTTGAAAACAAGCTTCTCAACTTGATTGACTTGTTAAATAAATCATTTTAAGGGGTAGACGCTTGTAGTATGAGCATTGTGTTTAATAAACTGAACTTCAACTGACCACACCTTTCTTTTTTGCTGCAGTCACTTCTTTCTGCAATGTCACCTGCTCAACAGACTATGATGTTATGCTGAATTGTTCGTGCTCACATGCTGTGCCAAGATCTGTCCTAATCAACGTTAACTGCAGGTACAAGTCCACATTATCTTAACTGATGATTAATATGCTGTATTTTGGTGAATGATGCCAATATATGGCTTTATTGTGGCACTGCTAACTTTAATTGATGGTAGACATTTTAATAGATCCCAGTGTTGTCAGTTATTACCACCTTGTGGGCAACTTTTTGTAAAGGTTTTAAAAATTGAATTGCTCCACAATGTCTGCTTTTTTCCTCATGAAAACACTGCAAGGTGTTGAGTAGATTTTTGACCCCACCGTGCACTTTGTCACACCTCCTGCATAGAGATGCCTATCAGAATGTTTCCATTGTTAACGCCATTCGTTGGCATAAGTCATTTAAGGTTGAGTGTTCACCTTAAACTGGTGTCTCAACAAAAAGGTCAACTTGAGGCAGGTCTTGAAAGATTGCATCTGTGCACATGCACTCTTGATTCCATCTTTGCAGATCCTGCCTCAGTGTACAATTTATCTTATGTCACTGTAGAGTGGAGGAGAAACGGGCCGATGCTGTATTTTGGAGACTGATATCAAGGTTTGAGAGTTAAAGAAAAATTGGTAACAATGAGCTACATCACGTATGCCATCCTACCTTTTTATATAAACAAAATTATTAAATAATCTGCAGATTGACTGATAATGAAAAAATCATTAGTTATGGCTGAATGATTGGGCTCTAGTAAGCCTTTAGCATCTGCTTAAGTGAAATATACTAGGAAGAGAGCGCTCAAGCATTACAGTTGAACTTTAATTTTTCTTTTTTGTGGAACAGGTAGACATCGCTAGGTTCTTTGTGGTCCAGATATGCTTTAATGATGCTAGTTGAACCCTCCATGTTCCTTCACTGCATCAGCTACAACCCTTGGTGCTGAGATGTCAACTGAGGTCATTATAATAGAGTTTCTCTGTTGCAGGGATTTTGATACTGTGGTTAATGGCAGCTGTGAGATCCATCCACCTCAGTCCTGGTGCAAAATGGATCTGGAGAACCTTTATATCGTTGCATCCATTGGAACCAACTGTACTTCAACAGCCAGTCAACAAAGTGAAGTAATAATGGAGGCCAGTGAGTCATCCAGCTGGGAACTGAGTGAAGTGGGTAAGTTAAACTGATATAAATCTTGGAATTTCAGTATTTGTCATTTCTGCTGAACAGATATGAGGATCACACAGACATTAGGTACGTCACAGACAACAGCAGCATTTACATCCCTTATGCCATGTTTAGTGGCATCAAAATTGGTCCTTTAAATGTTTTTAGGTTAATGTTAACTTCTCTTAATCCTCCCAGCATACGCTTTTTAAATTTTTTTTATTTTTTATTTTTTTTTACAAATATTTAGCCTCTTGTTGAACACAGCCAACCTGTTACAAATAGTCTTCACAAATTACTGTATAGTAGAGTCCAAGGATGACCAGAATCCTACTGTCAGCTTTTCCAGTTTACCCAGATTGTCATTTGGTAGCAAATGCCCACCCACCTGCTTTTCCCTCCCGATTATGACACAAGCTAAAAATAATGTTCATCTGCTCTCTGTGGTGTAGAGCTGTTCTTATGTATTTTCACTTTCCCTATAACCCCCTGATCCCCTTGGGACTTTATTTTCACAGTGAAACCTGAGCCTCCTTTCAGTGTTCAAGTTTCAGTGTTCACTGACGGATTCTACACCATCTCTTGGGACCACAACAACAAGGCCAACTGTCTCATATACAGGGTGCGCATAAGACAGAGCAACAACCTGTCAGAGGTAAAACATGAGCAAAAACACAAAGGTTGGGCCTGAGATGCTTTTATAATATATTATTGTCAAGCTTCTCTGCTGACAACCCCCATGAACAGCTGTTCTGTTTTTTATTTTTTTCCTGACAGGGTCTAGCTCATTCCCTTTCAGCGGAAGGAAATCACATTCTGTTAGATCATAACAAACTGCAGCCACATTGCAGCTATACTGTAGATGTTCAGGCCAAGATGTGTCCTGACAATATCTATCATGGTCCGTGGAGTGAGTGGAGTTCTACTGCAGAATGGAGAACAACAGAAACGGATGAACAGACTAAAGGTAGAAGAACTTTGTTCCTTTTGACCTGGAGTCATGATATAAAGAACTTTAGGAAGCAAAGTCAGACTGTTGGGGCCAGTCACATGTTATTTGATTGTGTTTTTATGCTTTAGATCATCATGCAAGTGTTTCTCCATTGATCCTTCATCCTAACCTTTCAGAAACCAGAACTGAATATTTTTTGTATGATGTCTCCTTTCACAGGAATTAATAGATGGTGGTGGTGTGTCTCCTTAGTCATTGTTCTTGTCCTCCTGTTGCTGGGTTGTTCACAAAAACCGTGAGTATTGTAAACATACAACCTCCTATGATTTTTCCAAGTATGGGAATTTAATCTTTTTAAAGCATGTGTTGGACCTGAGCCTCGATGCTTGGCAGATGTTGTTCCTAGTTACCTGTAGAATGTTAATAACTTGTCGTCTAACAATTCAATGGCCTGTGTTTTCATATTTTACCAAAACATGGTGAGGTTTGTCATTCAAAACATTTACTGATTCAATGATTACTACTAGCTTATGGAGAAACTTGCAGAAATACTGTAAATACATCTAGACTGAACCAACTATTAATTGTCAGAGAAATGAAACATGCAAATAGCGTTTATGGTTACATTTCTTTTTTAATTTACACATAACTGAATCCGCATTCATTAAAAAAAACAAACTTAGCACAACAAGAGCACATTAAGGCTAAAGGTCACCAACTCGTCTTATACCAGTAAATGATTAGCAAGTTTTCAATCTACACTTTCCTGGTATCACCTCCCACACTGTATAGAGAAACCACTGCAGCATTGTGCATGCAGCAACGCATTGCACTGAAATGGCTAGCAGACATAGGAAGTCATGCAGAGCATCAGTGTCTGAAAACTGAGAACATCTTACATACCAACGACACACAGTTACAAGAAAAACTCAGGCTCAGCAAAGAACATGAACTCAGATGTCATAATATCTTCTGTGGGCCATAATGGTTTCAAGTTTGGGTTTAGTTCAGTGCAACAGTTACATAAACATTTGTAATGAATCTCATTAGCAGTAGCATATGCAGCATGGTGGTTAGTTTATTATGCTGTTGAATTGTGTTTTCCAATAGTTTGTCCAGTGAGTTTACAACATATTATATAACAAGGTTAAGACTTCAGTTCAAGAGTACCACGAACTGAAGCAATCAAAAAGATGATAAAACTGAATCATTCTGAAAACATTTTCAACAAATATGAACATTAACCTTCATGAAGGCTGGATTTATTACAGGCTTGTTGACTATAATAAAAGAGAATACATTTAAATATCTCACCAATCCTGTAAATGTGTGTTTGTCTCAACACTTAAGAAAATCAAATCCGTAAAAATAATACACATAACCACAATAAACATAAACCTGTGCAAAGGTTGGTGTTGGTGTTGGTGTTGCTTATTCAGTAGACTGATTTTACATGGTAAATAACATTGCTTATCTAAAGTGTCATCCAGAAGACGGCATCATAGAAGAGAGGATGTGCATTGTAAACAGAGCTTTGCTATATACAGCCATATTATACATCTGATGATGTAGGTTTCTCTGCTGTTGGTATCAAACTTCTCTCTAATAGTAGCCACCTTGTTTGTGATTACTACAGTCTGGTCACCAGACTGAGATGTTCATAATGACGCGCACCTTTTTTCTATCAATTAATTGTCTTAAAAAAAAAAAATTGTCTTCTGTAAATATGCTATCAAAAAAGTTTGAGTTTGTATTTCACTCAAAATGCTCTTTTTTCTTGCTGGTGTGAGAAAATGGGTGAAAATGTGGCAAATTAGTGCAGAATTGTCACAATGGGGACAGGAAATATTGTATATGGACAATTTTGACCTCAGTTACTTTCTGAGCCTTGAGGATATATGCTATTACATGAGCCAGATTTCCAGCAAATGGTAGGCATGTTTTTTTATGAGTAGATGCTAAAGTGGGTTTTGCTTGTTTATGTAAAGAAGACTCACATTCTATTGCTCATGAGAAACCAAAGATTATTCTGTTTTGAGTCACAAAACAGTCAATATTCAGAATAATTTTTAAACAGGTCCTTGACATGACCTTGACTCAGCTTAGTAAGGTAAACTAATTCACATTAATACCTATAAATAAATAAAGTATTATGTGTAATACAAATGCTTGTTTATGTGTGCATAAAATTTATTATCATTGTTTATGAATTCATTTGTTTTAATTTTATTTAGTTTGAGTTTTTTTTTTATGGGTAGCTAGGGGCAAGTAGGTATGAAATTTGTATAAGTTAGTTTTTGTTACTAAATGTAGTAATAATCAGTTTGTGCTACCAGCATCCATTATGATTTAGCAGTCTGTTGCTTTTGGTTCTGCAGTGGTCAGGTCACATACAGTAAAAGAAACCACACCAACAACAGTGACATTGTTGTGGAATTACCAAAAGAGCAGGTTTAATTTCCTATTTCCATTCTTTTTCTGAATTTATTTGATTTCTATTTCAGGTTTTGGCAGAAAAAAATCCAGCTGATTACATATGTCCCCAGGCCAAATGACTTCTTCAAGCCCCTCTACCACAACTATGGAGGGAACTTTAAGGTAAGAGAAAGCAAAACTCAGCTCATTTGGGCTTTGTGTGTCATTTCCAAATTGGCCCAGCAGGTGTTGCCCAAGAGGGGACTTTCAGCACATATGGACTCTGTTAGTTGGGACTTTCCCTTCCCCTCACGTTTAATGTGCCTCAAGGTGTGAATGACTCACTGTGCAGGGGCTTCCTGAGCCTTTTTGTTTTTGATCTATCTGAAATGCTGTAGGTAGATGCTGTATGACAGCCTGTTCCACCCCAGTGGAAAATACCCCCGGTGCATCTGTGTCAGATCTAAAAACAGCCTGTTTTCATTTGATAAGGGCCCAGGGTGAAAATTATGTGGTTTCCATTTTATACTATATTTGACATATGCTGGTATTTTTATGATTATTTTTTCCATCACAGTTTTATATTTTCCCCTTATGTAAATTCTTCCCTCTGCCTTTTGACACCCAGTTACAGATGGTTTTTGATTAAATATATTTACTCACTGTAATTTTATTTCAAAACTGATGGTAGTGTAGACTGTTTCTAATTAACGTAGTTTAAACTACAGTAGATGAGGTTTTCTGGGTTTCAGAACAAAGTAAAGACTTTCCTTTTATCAGCCATGGGTTTACATGGTTCCTTCTTATCGTTATTTTGTGATGTAGCTTTTTTGATAGATTTAGCTGAATGAAAATAAACAAAATGAATGTCTTGCACCATCACGTTCCTGTTGCTTTTGATTCTGAGAATTCTGTGTTTAAATATACTGTATGTTGCAAACACCAAAAGTTGTCCTTTAAAATATCATCACATCATCGACAGAATATGGGAGTTGCCTATCGGTATCTAGTAAAATGTACCAAAAGTTGGTTTACCATTTCAGTGGAAGCCCAGTATTCATGGTAAATATGGGCATCCTTTCAAAAATATTGTGATATCTGATTTTATCACTATTGCTGTTACTTCACAAGAAAATGCTCCACCACCCTGTTGCCATGAGATCTGTGTGAAGCTACAAACACTGCTCAGCAGAGGGTGCTGCTGCAGCAAATATGAGAGCATACAGTGAGAGGGGAGGTACTAGGGAGATGAGAGAGATCTTTATGTGCACTGCTCTGCTTTGCTCCAGTACATGAAATATGCTGTAGTGGGCCATATGTTCACTAGTCTTGAGGCTTCTTAATTCAATTCAGTTCAATTCAATTTTCTTTGTATAACACCAAATCACAACAAAAGTCATCTCAGGACACTTTACAAAGTAAAGTCTAGATAGTATTATTATTATGATGTTATGGGTTTAATGTTTTGACAATAATCTACACTTTATTTCAGGGAGTTTAGGTTAGGTAGACTTTACAGATGTTGTGGAACCTTCTTCTCTGTGGCATCAGTATTGGTTTATAAGTCATCAAACAAAGTTTTCATGTGTTGACAGACTGATTTAGTTCATTATGGAATACTCTGAAATACTGCATGAAGCAAATAACCACTGCTCCTTCATCATATCGGGTAACCTAGTGTGTGTATATAGTAGTTTTTTATGTCATATACACCATGTAGTTAATATTTCTTCTACTGAAATCCTTCATTCAGCAAACAGGAATTCAATTAACTTAAATGTATCAGTTTACAAATACTTGTACATACAAACACTTGTGTTGCATCATCCTAAATCTGATGCAGAAGAATGAAACAATGCATCTGTATTGTGTAGTGCTTTGTGACAGGTGGGAAGTTCTTATAGTACAGTCCTTGTTGCTTTTCAAAAAGTTCCTATCAGATCTATGCTTGTGCTGTACTGTACTATACATCACATCTTCATGATCACTGCAACAGACTGAATGAGCTCTCATGGAAATTATTTTTCTAGCTTGCCTGTGCTATCTTACTTTTGTGGTGCAGGCTGCTTGCATCTTCTCAGCAGATCAGAAATGATTCAGTGACGCTAAAGAGCTTTGTATATCAGGATGTGGTGACTGTTTTGTCAAGTAAATAGGTTAATGCTTATCTGGGCATCATCTTGCTGATTAAAAGTTACAGATGGCTGCAGAATATTTGTGGTAACATTTATGAGTTGCTGTATGGCAACATACAGATACATCCATCAAGTGTGCTTCCAAGTAAAAATCAGTTATACAGAATATTATTTGATATGGTTAGTGCAGGGACATGTGTGTGTGCGCCTTCTTACTCTCTGGAGACTTGTAGTCTTTCCATCTTATGGAAGATAGATAAACATAGTTGTAGTCAGTGTTGTAGCACTCAAGGCCTGATTTTTCAGGACTTGTGACTCGACTTGAGCACTGATTGCATTCACACTCAGAAGTTGGAAACAAGGACTCTAGCTAGCTACTGCTTTAGCTACTGCTAAAGGCTGTGAAAGTCTCACTTAATAAACATGTTTAGGTACTTGCCCAGGTGTCCCAGCCACACTTCAAGCAAGCAGTATTGGTGGTTAATCGCATATGGGGGAAAAAGGCAAGAGGTAAACAGCAAGCCTGGGCTTTGTTCAAGTACTCCTACGATACTTCTAAAGCTAATTGTTAAATCCAAAATAAGGCAAAGAGAAACAATTAAAAGTTAGGGTTCTACTGGAAGTTATGTGCTGGGACAAAATCTTGATCAGACCAAGAGCCAGGCTTGTTGTTTTCCCCTGCTTCAAGTCTTTATTCTTAGCTAAGAAAATCACCTGCTGAGCCTAGCTTTACTACTTTACATTTACAGTACAGACATCAGTGTGGTATCAAACGTCTCCTCCAACTCTTGGCAAGACTGGCCATTGTTGCATTAATTTAGTCCACCACTTGAATGCCTTCCATTTGTTTTGTTGTAGGCATGGGTGAAGCCTGTATTTGGTGAGTATGATTACCTAGGGGTCAACCCACATGTTCCAGTGATGAGCGAGAAGCAGCACGACGACATCCTTCACTGGAACAATGAAAATCAAAGCTACACTGAGGACAGCGAGACGAAACATAGCGGTCACTTCCTCCATGTGCTGCCTCACAGCAACATGCTGCTGCATTTCCAAGACTGTGGCAGTTCACAGGGTATGGTCCACTCCACGGGACACATCTCCATCCATACTGTAACCCTGTCTGGAAAAGGGTTTGGTGAGGAGGTTATTTCACAGAGCTCCATAAACTCCCTCAGAAGCTACCAAGATGGAGAAAACTTTAATTCATTTGAAGAAGACAACAGAGAGCATGCTGGCCATGATTTGGGGGAGCCTCCATTGTCTGGGATGGATATACAAAGTGGGATACTACCACAACATGAAAACCAATTACCAGGTGGTTTACCAGTGGGAAATATAAACTTTGAGCCACATGCCCAGTATAATGAGCCAGAAAGAGTATCACTTGACTCATTTGTCTCTAACGGGCAGTCAGAAGACGGCTACCCTCATGTGGACTTGGACACCATTGACAGTGGTTTTGTGGAGTGCAGCAGCCCTGGTGCCTCAGACTCAAACCCTTCAGAGCAGATAGACTCTGACTTATTTAATGAGCACAAAACCTCAAGTTCTAACTATGTTAAGCAGTGGATGATATGTAACACTATTCAGGAGGACTCCAGCAACTTGGAGAATGATCTCCATGAAGCACAGTGATTGTTGGTGCTAATTTACTACCACAGTTGCAGTTTGGAGTACTGTGGGACATACACTGAGAGCATGGCCACCGTTGGCATTTTCACAATGCATATTTGAATTAAAATAAGATTCCAAGTGCCTCGTCAGGATGGTAAATCTTGTATGTTTTGTTCATCTTAATGTTTTAGCTGTGCA